CGCTGGTGCTTTTAGTCCCGCCGAGCTCCCTCAGAAAAATAGGGCCACTGTGATAGCAAAAGAAAAACCTACTGCCCACATCGTCCACGTGCGTTACACGGAAGCCCGTGAGCCTCAGAATGGGAGAGCGCGGGATCCAGCCACCAACAGCACAGGGCCCGCTTGGGACGCTGTGGATGGGGGTCACCGAGGGCAGAGCAAGGGGAGTTCTCGTGCCCTAAGTGCCCCATACAGAAATCACCCCTCGAAAATGAGGACCCCACTCTGCAATGAATCTTCAGCAGGGGAAACAGTGAAACGGCGCCATGGCCTCCGGTGTGTGGAGGAAGCGAAAAAGGTGGTGGGGGTCCACCGAGGGTCTTCAGAGCAGCCAGCCAGCCCGCCGTGGGCTCTCGAGGAGCTTGGAACTATCTCGCCAGCTCCCTTCCAGAAGGACAGAGACCCACGCAGAAAAAGGCTGCTTGGGGCAGGGCCCGAACAGAGCAGGGCAGGGGGCTGGCGTGAGAGAGAGGGGTGCGGGGAGCAGAGGAGCTGCAGCTCCCAGGCGGCGGGGCCACTAGCTGAGGGGGGCCGGTCGAGCAAGGAAGCGGGAGACCCACCCTAGCCACTGCCACCCCTCTGGGAGCTTGTCCTAAAGGCACAGCAAAGGCCATCTATTTAAACAGGAGCAACAGAAAAAGATTGGTTTGACCCCGTATAAACAAGGAATAGAGAAAAGAGAAAAGCGAGTGACTGAATAACTCCAGCAGTTAAGTGCATCTCGGTACAAATATGGCCACAGAGCAGACGAAACTGATAATCTCATATCACCAGTTAAACTAAAAGAAACTAAAATCTTTAGAAACTCTGAAAGAGCAGCGTAAAACAGAAATAGGAAAATTAAGAAATAATTTGCCTAACAACAGGAGGTTGTATAAAGAACTGATAGACTTCGGAGAGAACTGGAGAAAAAGAAAAATCCTGTGAGGAAAAAAGACTAAACTAGAAAAACAAGAACAAGCAGACACCAGGGAAAGCTTAGGAATGGAAGTAAAGTAGTAAAGCCGCTTTTAAATCAGAGACAAAGAAAAAGAATTCGAGAGAAAATGATATAGAGACGATAGAGGTCTCTCTATATGTAAAAACGGAGTTCCTGGACAGATAATCAGAGCAATAGAACAGAATACATCTTAAAAACTATAATAAAAAATAATGACGATAATAAAAGAGGGCTTATCTAAGTGGTGTCGAGTAAAATGACTAGACTTTAAAGACCAAGGAAAAGCGGCTCCTGGTCACTCAAGCAGAAAGAACAACGCACTGGTTTACGTCTGTGGTCCTGCCACACTTACTAATAGTGTCCCCTTTCTTTCCCCAAACTCGCCTGATTTTACAAGAACAAGAAATTAGACTGGCATCAGATTTTTCCAGCAACACTTCAGACAAGGACACGCGTCAGTATTTTAAAGATTTTCATGGAAGGAAAATGAGCCCAGGATTTTATATCCAGGTAAGTGATGTAAAAGTATTATCTAAAAAGGCTTCGGCGAGTTATGAACTTGTGAGAACTTAGGGTATATTGTGAGTACTTTCTGATGATTCTGCTAGAGAGCGAACTGGATTCAGGAAACAAAAGATCGCAGAAGAAACTTTGGCATAAAAAGGTGAAGGGTGTTTCTAGTGTCAAAATAAAGAGAAACCTTCAATAGAGGACCAATCCTGAGAAACTGAGGTTCTAACTCGGAGAGAGATTTGGAGATTTTCTCTAAATGTTCTTTTCAGCCTCAGATTCTAAGGAAATTCCTCATGATTCTTGCTTCACCCCAATCCGATTCGAAGCACTGCACGCTGTCTCTCATGTTGGCACAGGCGTGCATCCTAAAGCACTCCAGCTATTCGCCCACGATTTCCAGCAAGGAAACCGCTCTAATATGTAAATAATAAGATTAAAAATTTCAGCCATTTCCCTAATTCTAGCTTAGCAGAAATTCTTTGCACTCTGCCCAGATGCCTGCCTAACAGCCTCTGGACAGGAGATGTAGGGAGGCTCACGCTCTGCAGACCAGCTCAGCCTCTCTCGTGTCCCGGCTCTTTAAGGACCAAATGACAAATGCAAGTCACGTAAAAGAATCGATTTTCTTGGGAAAGCGGTAAATAAACACGGACCATTCTAGAGTGGATAAAGATCTCCCTTCTTTTAGCCAGTGGTCAGAGAGTGGGATTCAGCCAAAAACATAGCTTCTCCAGTCCCAATACTAATAGTAAAAATATTAGTTTGTAATCATCTGGCATAAAAACCTAAACACAGAACGCTTTTATGCATTAAAATCAGATTAGAATAATTCTATATGAAGTGTTGTGCTGAAAAATGCTTAATGGTTGAAACAATATAACTAGCAATAAAGCACAAGCGAAAATATGTTTTTTTAATACCCTAGAACGAACTAGCACATACTATAAAATATCAGGTAACATTTACGTTTGCCTAATAACAGAGATCGTGTGTGCAGATTGTCAGCTTTGTTGGGCTGAGGAAGTTCAGACTGGCAGAGGAGGAGCCTTTGAGGCTTCCGGAACTAGATGGGAAGGTGTGCCAGGGGAGTGAGGGACGGCCAGGGTGGCTGACACACCAGGTGACCAAGAGGACAAAGCCTTCCTGAGGGCTGACCTCGGAGGGCCCGCCGCAGCCCACTCACAGGGAAGGTCAGCCTTGGGACGGTCTTGGTGGCAGATGCCAGCCACGAATTTCCCTTCCCTGCCCCGCTCTGGTCTGTAATTGCACGTTTGGATGTTGTCACCTAGGACTCCTGGAGGCAGAGGGAGATCTGCTTTGCCACTATAGCTCCAGCACCTGCTAAACAGTAGGTGCTCTATTAATACCTGTCAGGAAAGGTCTGAGGGAGGCCAGGCTGTGAGCACAGTGGGCAGAGGGTCCTGATGCCAGCTGACAGCCTGGGGGGTGGGGGGTGCCGCCCTTACTTGTTGTACAGCACGATGTCTGGCTTCCAGATCTTCTGGGCAGGGACACGCATAAACTCCGCCCCGTCGTAGTCAGAGGGGTTCCACTTCAGCTTGTAGTCATTCCAGATCTGGGGGGAGACAGCAAAGGACCAGCGTGGGTGAGCTCCCCACCCCTGCCGTGCGCCACGGAACAGCCTCCCGCTGCAGAGCACACAGGCCCAATTTCTTGGGTGGGTGCCAGTGGGGGAGACGGCCCTGGGCCGTGTGCAGGCCGCCTCCCGGCTCTCCCGAAGCCACTGCCATCGTGGCAGGGCAGCACAAGCACTTGAGGACCACTAGTGCTTATTCCGGTCACTTCGAGTGCCTTAAGCGCGTACTATTTACGTCCCTTGAAATGACTCTCCGGGAGCTTTTTCAGACACATTCCCCACCAAGCCCCAATAACAGAGCAGAACCCTCTTCTATGTCCAGGTTGGACAGGGCTGGCCTCTGAAGGGTTCTAGGGAAGGAGCTGCGATCCCATCGTGGCCCCAGAAGTGTTTGGGTGCAGAAGCTGGGAGACCTGAGTCCAGAGCCCCTGAGGGACCGTGTGCCATAGAGCAGCAGGTGGGCACTACGCCCTGCTGGCCTGCCAGCCTCCTGGGGAGGGGGCTGTGCTGGCGCTCAGTTGGCTGGGCCCATGGAAGGTTCACTGTTAGGCCAGTGAGTGATTTGTCCGGCACTGGGCAGAGCCTCTCTGGGGAGGATGTGTGCTGGACGATTTTTTTGCCTTTAATCCGAACAGGAAAATCCAGAACCCCTGCCCCCACCCCACCGGCAATGACAAGAGCACGAGCTTCTGGTTGAAGCCTGAGATTTTGGAAGCGGCGGGGAAGGAGGTGGTCTCAGGCACCACCCTAGAGTTGGGGTCTGGGCCCGGGTGTGTCCCATTTTAGTGTGTGACGTGAGAGAAGGCTTCCCCTCCAAGCTGCAGTCTGTTAAGTGTGGCTCGAGGGGCTGGGCCCTGCAGTCCCTCTGGGAGGAACCTTGAGACCCCAAGCCCAGAAAGAGACAGACCAGCCAGTCAGGACCCCCGTCTGGGTCACAGGAGTGAAGCTGGGGCTTCGGCCCATCTTGGTTCACAGACAGCAAATAAAGCAGTCACCACCAGGGGGCAGCTGTGCCTAGGGCCTGGGCACTTACTTGCTTGAGCCACAGGTTGGTCTCCATGATCTGGTTTACTTCATCCTGGAAGGGTAAATTAAAGTAGATGTGTGAAGTACAAAAACAAGGCTGGCTCTGGGAAAGCGTCTTCCGGAAGCCCCATACCCCATGGCCACGGCTTGTGGCCCCGACACTCACCACCTTCACTAGCTGAGACATGGACACCTCAAACTGGATGATGACGGGGTCAGACACGTTGGCCACAGGCCGGATGATCTCATTGTAATCTTCAAACAGCCGCTCAAACAGACGGTGCTCGGCCTCGGAGCCGCTGGCCACTGAGGGAAGTAGCCCTGTCAGACCCCTTTCCCCTCACCAGGGACACCTGCCAGCCGCAGCCTCCTGGCCACCTGCTGGGGACACTCTGTGGAACACCAGACTTTTCATACTACTTTCTCTCCTTCAAGTTACAGACTGGGAAACTGAGGCCCTAGAGGGACAGGGATTCCATCAGCTCGCACACATTCAGTGACAAGCACAGTAGGTACGGGCCCGGGCTCTGACTCTGCATGGGTCTGGGTCTGGTGTAAATCACGACGAACTGCCTGTGGGCTGTGTCGGTTTAGGCGAGTGGCTTAAGCTCTCTGAACCTGTTTCTTTATCTGTAAAAACAAAGGTTGTAAACGTATCCAACCTGTAGGGTCGCTGCGAGTGAGGCATGTGGTCGTAGCTCATAAGTTCATTGTTACAACAGGGCAGGTGCCGTCTGCCCAGCTACAGCACGAGCTGCTTCCGTGATGGAGGTGACAGGTCCACTCCCAAGGCCGGGTATTCTGCCTCCCAGCCTCCCCGTGGGAGACTGCAGCCCAGGCCTGGGGCTCTCCTTCATGCCACCCAGGACCCTTGGGGGTTTGGCCACCAAGCCTCTGAGCAGCCGCGCGCCTACGTGGCTCCCATGCTCGGACTGTGACCCAGGCTTCCTGCGGATGCTTTCTCCGCGCCCTGATCAGAGGCCGCCACCTCTCTGAAACCCTTAGGGTCCCCTTTGTTCATAAGCCACGCCCCAGGCATCTTGAGTCAGCTGCCTATGGCGTCCTATTTACAGATCTGGGCACAGTCTGGGGAGATGAGGGGAATTCTTGGTGAGGTCCAACCCAGTTTCTCCAGGTCTTGAAATGGGATCTTGCTGCTCTACGCCGTCCCCCTTCTAAATAAAGGAGGGCTACAGGCAGGCGCTCCGCGGGGAGCAGGGCACGAAGGCGGCAGGCAGGACGGGAGCCCCGAAAGCACAGCGCGGCGCGTTCTCTTAACGGGGCCCCCCGCAGCCTGCCAGACCCTCGCCGCTCCGCACTCCAGCCCTCCCAGGCCACCCGGAGAACCTTCCGGCGGCGGGTCACGGCCGCTTCTCCCTACGCTGCTCCGGGGCCCCGGGTGGAGGCGGGCGGCGAGCTCGCTGCTAGGAGCGCGGGGAGACGACGGGAACGGAGGCCGAGGCCGGCGCGCGCTCTGCTCCCCGCCCCCACCGACTTCCCTCTCTCCCGGGGGGCCTTTGGCAAGTCTTTACCTCCTTCTGGCCTCAGTTTCCCCGAGGAGGCGGGCGGGATGCAGACAGTGGAGCCGACGCCCGGGCACGCCAGCTGGGTCCCGGTGCGCCGAGCAGGCCCCAGGAGGCGACCGTGGGGGAAACGGGCGACCCCACCCAGCTCGCCGCCGGCGGGAGGAGTCC